AAATCTCCAAATCCCAAAATTCCAGAGTCTCCAAATCTCAAGCCACAAAAACTCCACATTCTCCAAACCTCAAAAGACCAATCCCCAACGTCTCCAAATTGTTAACCCATCCAGAAGTCTTCGAATCCTTAATTCGAATCCTAAAATTGTGGAGTTTACGACTCGTTGCGTCACCGTTTGGTATATTTTCCCTAGGGAAATCGTTGAGAGCTACAGTGAATGGTAGTAGGTGCGCGAAGGATTTCACCCTCGTCTGATGCAATTATAATCGCCGCGACCGATCGTTGATCGGCGCGTTTGTGTCCATGGCGAGGTTGGTCGTTGGCTCTCGAGCGTTTCACGACTCGTTGTCCACGTCGCTCGTTAAGCCGGTTTCGCGATTTACGATTCCTCCGTGCGAAACCACGAATAATGAAGAAAAAGGGCGAGGGAAAGGTTCGCGGTATGGACATAGAGCGCGAAGTAAAAGGAGTGGAATCGCTCGTAATGACTGCCAAGTGTATCTCGAGGTGAATCCACGGCGAGCATTATGCTTTCATAAAAGATCGCGATCAGTTGCGGCCAGATGGAAGCAGCAGGTCGCGTCGAGTTTATGTCGCGCGTGCATGAAGCGAGAAACGCGTCGTTGAATACAGCTCGCGCGTTGCAATCAGTGTCGCGTTAACTCGAGGCGCAGAATTTAATCCTTTCGCTGCGATGTCCACCGCGCAATAATCGCGGCTTGATCGCTCGAACTTGTAAACAATTTGCTCGTTACTTGTTTTGACATTATCCGGATTCATCGATATCTTATTATAGACTGATCTCGTTTCCTTCTTTTTAAGGTAATTGTCGGCAGACTCGTAGTCTCGGAACTTGAAGATTTCCATTGAACGAAGTTCGAAAATGTCAATGTCTCACAGTTTCAAGATTTGCAAATTTAGGAACCATTGAGTTATGAGCTCTTCGAATTCTTAAATACTAAAACCTCGAAGTCTGAAAGCTTTGAGATTGAAAAATTTTAATGTCACATTCAAACCTCGAACCTCCAAAGCTCAAATAGATCAATGTACCAAAATTGCAAAGTCTTAAAGTTGCAAAGTGCCAAAGCCTAAAAATATCAAAATTTTTGTGTACCAAGACATCTCAAAATCAATTTAAAATTCTAGTGTCCCAAAAGTTGAACATCCCAATATTCCAACGTCTGTGTATCCCAGAATTCCAACCCAAACTATCAACATCCCATTTTCAACATTTCAAACTCTGAAGTCCTAAGATCTCCCGACCTAACCTATTACTGTACAACCGTATTTCTCGCAGATAACAGCTCGAAAACATAAACGTTGCAAAGAACACGATTATAGATTAAAACGATTCCGTGTAGCAGCAATAGAAATGATGTTAATTAGTGATCGAACGAGCATAGAAACGCGTCGTACGTATTCCTGTTTCATAGTTTGTCTCGCTATCTCCGTGAGAGCAGCGTCACGTCAAGTGCATTACCACAAACTTCACTCGAGATTTTTAGACCACGATTAGACGCAGCATGAGTGTCATGCGTTCCAGCAATAACTGAAACAATAATTAATTCTGTCCCGTCTCGTTAGCCTGGCAATAACGAGTGGACAGCGAAAGTTTAAGCCTCGAAAGCTTATCTGACATCTCGGATCTGCGAATAGTGGACTTACGAAACGAGCGAGTGTCATCGTTAGAATTCGTGTCATTCCATTTGCACCAGCGTGGCGGGAACTGGTTCGAAGTTTCATGCTCGAACGATCTTATAACGATTTTTACGACGATACGCATGCCTAGCCGACTTCTTTATTTCGTCTCGATTATACCTGAACGGCGATAGAAAACAAATATTCACGGTCACGAGTTGTACTTTCTTTTCTGTTAACCTGTTTCGATGATAAATATCGCCTCGAATAATGAATACCATTTATTGCAACTAATGTTTCAGTGTAACGTTCCGAAGTGTGCAAATCGTTTCTGATGTATGTTCATGATTAAGGCAACTATCGGAATTCTAACAAAAAACCATACTTTCATACTATATTCATACATCAAGATTTCTTAGAAACCTGATTATAAAGCTGATAATTGTTTAGAATAATGAATTATTAATCATATGTTTGTTCAGTCATTTTTGTTTATTTAGTCATTTTTAACGAGATGAATATACTGTCTTAATAAATTACAAAGGTTTTTTAATTGGCAACCGCAGATTTCGCCGACAACGAAGGGAGCTATAAAGAAAATGGTGGGCCATTTTCTGTTCGCTTTATCGGTGGAAGAAGAATGTTCCATTCATACTTTTACGTGCCGTTTATGGACGCCCCGCGCACGATATCAGTCTTATCAGCACTTCTACGCCGCCTACAATTTAATGCGGCTGTGTGCGCATGTAGAGCTATCGGGAAAGGAAAGACGGCGTTGCAAGAAATGCTACCTGCGTGGCAAACAACCGCGAAACTCCTTGTCGACGAGTATTCAATGCCGATCTCGGGGATCCGAATATCGTTCCAGTTCTTTGTCTTTTCTTTCCTCTCACTATTTATGATGATATTATAACGTTAGCGAGTACTACGCGATTGTTCGAAGGGCTTAACATTTTAATAGCAGGGCTTTGCGTGAAAACGGGTCTCGGTTATTCGTGAAATCTTCTTACATCAGTTTGCAAATCAAATATAAATATGGTTTAAAAGCTTGGTTAGTCAGCTGAAAATTTATTTTTATATCTAAGTTGGAATATTTAATAATTTCAACTGCTGTAACACTCTATGCTTGATTATTATGAATATGGATATTGAAGCTCACGACTATGAGCTATGTGTGAGGTTACCATATTATTTTTGAGTGGTTATGGTTTTAACAGGTAGGTATGAGCTCTTGTAAATAGGAATGTAAAACGAATGTAAACGGATTATTCTATGTGCCTATCATGATCAATCGCCTCGGGTGTGGTCGGTTCAGAAGTGAAAGTATCGTCGTGACAATAAAGATTGTGCATTATTATGTCTACCATCTTTCACGAAACCGTGGACCGTCGAAAGTGCCGTCGAAAAGAATATACTTGTCCAGTAAATTTTGTCGGTTCATTCGTTCAATAGCTTATTGGCTCCGTTTCACGTTCGAACGTAGCGAACATTTATGCTACGTTAATCATTTTCTTTGCGAAGGTAACGAACCATAAAAATTCGACGGAAAAAGCTTCCTGACAAATGCACCGAAACCGTTAACCGACGCGGTTCCGATACGACCGCAGCCTTTTTAGGCGCAATTGAATTATTTGTATCGAGCCTTGCGAAATGTTTAACGGCGATAAAATTAAGAGCAATAAAATCGGCGAGTGATGAGTTTAATTTAATTTCACCAAGATTATCACACGCCGCCGGTGACGTTATTAATGGACAATAATAAATAAAACTTTCTCAAAACGTTTTACGTCATCGAGACTGATCATTATCATACTTTTCATGGGCGGCGAAGTGTGGCCCCGTGAAAATTTGTCAAACGCTCTCTCCTTCGAAGACAAGCTGAATCGCTAATTACATGCACGATACGAAACATTTCACTGATACCGGTTCATTAATATCGACTTCGACAGACGCGAACACGGTGGTCCACTAGGGAGGATTTCTCGAGCCGTCATTAATCACCGTATCAAGAACAGGACTTAAGAGGGACTTAGAAAGCGATTGGTTACGTTTAATAAAACTTCATCTAGGATTGTAATTCCGAGAACATCTACATGTTTGATACATTGTATTACGGTCGTAAATCATAAAATACCTGTTTCGTACGTATATACTTTAAGAAAATGTTTACTACTCCTATATCTAATCTATAAACTACTCGTACGTGCATCGTTCAATTAAAATACTATAATTACTTAATTCATATGTATAACAGGAAGGTACAGATTAGCGGGAATAATTTAATGAGTTAGGAGTCTTCGTGTATTTTTTAATTTTGTGCGCTTTATGGAAATAGTACAGCTTGCACCATCTACAAACTACTCATGGAACTGTCGTAACAGAAAATTGCGTTTTTCTGTAAAATTAAGCATTTCTTCGTTTTGCTGACGTATACAAATTGTAACATTTATATTAAAGAAAAATATCTTCTCAAGTTATTTATTTATGTATAGCCGAATTCAATGTTTTATATTTGATCATTTGACCATTTAACCATAGAAGACTATATAAACTATTTTCCGAATTACATTATGTCTACAAATTTGTCTACTCTCTAAAGTACAAAAATCCACTTTATTAAAAAAGAAATTTTTATTCTAATTTTTCTACGCACAGAAAGTTTCATATTTGACCGCCAGATAGTAGCAGCGATTCCATTTTCAGAAAGCGCGTGTAAATATAAATTTTAAAAAATAATTAAAGTATGAATGATTTCATACTTCTGCTGCAGTGTTCCCCGATTATATCATGATGTGAATAAATATGTGACCAATTGTTTAAATCGTAAATTGAAAAGGGTACTGATAAGTTCTCAGATTCGACGGGAAAAGTATAACGCTGTATCGTGCTTCAGTAGTCCGCCAACAGGACGCGCGAGTGGTTGTGTTTTCAAAGTGATTTGTGATTGTGGCATATTGAAGTCATCAAAAGGTACATTCATATTCCATTCTTATTGTTTTTATACATTAAATGATTTGCAATTTTTTCGTTGCAATTAAATTATTGATACAAATATAATTGATAAGTTGAGAAATTGTACATACTGTGGATAAGGTTAGCAAGATTTATTTGGTTTAGACAAATCACCGCTAGATGGTGAACTTCATCCATGTTGTACTTTTTATAATTTTTAATTTAAACATATTAAATAATCCACAATCTATTTATTCAAATTATGATATTATTATGAAATATTTCATATTTGGTTGTAAAGTTTTAAACTTATTTGATTTACAAAAAGAAAAAGAAAATTTTGACTTTCATAATTTCTGCGCCTACCACTTGATGGCGTTAATGATGGCCTCATGCAACAGGGTATTGATATAAAAAACATACATATAAAAATATTACGTTAGTAATATTTGCATTCTTAAATCAATTGCTTTAAAACACCACAATGTTTTCTCTTTCAACTGTGTAAATTGAGTGGTTACTGTTTTTTAGTATTGAATGTAAACTTCAAGAGGAAAGGTTATGTACATGAGGCACGACATATTTGTAAGAAAAACTTGTATACGTATTTTTCTTGTATCTTGTGTATCATGGAATATATTTCATTGAAATAATTACACTCATATTTCTATTTCTTACAAATATTTATTGGAAACATTATTTTCTTGTATGGTTGTGTAAAGCAACCATCTATAAAATTCTATTGCATAAGCTTGGTATTAAAATTATTAAGATAATTGAAATCTGGACGGACATTTTTTCAGAATATTGTCAGTCTTCTTTATAATATAAAGTCTTTGACTTTCAAGGCATTGGACTAATTGTACATGAACGACAATTAAGTAGAGTATTTAGATGGTTTCCCATCTTCATAAATATATCTTACCTCTGTGTCAATTAATGTATTCTATATATTAATGTTAATACTATACAGGTATCTAAGGCCACAGAAGCTCTATATTTGGGGATTGCAACTCCTCCAATATTTTGTACATTGATAAAACAACTAACCAGCAATAGATCTGAAAATATGTATAAGAAAATGTGATATAAGCATATAAAACACATATATAGAAATATAATTGAATACAGTATGTAATAACTAGACTATGTTTATGCATGCAAGAGATGAAGTTCAGAAAGCAGAAACATCTACAGTCTAATAATAACATACATATAATATACTTACATTGTATGACATCCAAAGCCAGTTACACATGGCAGCGAATGTTGCATCAAGCTATAAATATGATTAAAATATTAACTTGCATATCTTTTACACACAGTGCTTGACTATCTAAAAACTTACATAAATATAATAGCCTCCTACAAGCCAAAGTCCAAAAACTAATTGGAATAGACATGCTATGAACCACAATATAAGCCAAGGAAGTAGCCATCCTCTTATTCCTTCTTTTACTCCGTACACTGTTAAAAGTGCTGATATAATTAAGAGGAGGAAGTAAAGTATGAAGCAGCCTCCAACAACTTGCATAGCTGAAAAACCAAATATATGATACAGTGTCTTGCTATTGTTATATCATTGGACAACTTACATCCTCTGACATCAGCTTCAAACATAGGATTATACAGCTGCGAAGAATCACCTCCATTTAATTGGTAACTTATCAACGTTATGGACACCACACTGATTGCCTACAATAATGGAGCAGCAAGATGGTTTATTAATTACTTCATTACAATAAGAAGAGTTGTATCAAGTTAGAGTTACATACAATTGTGTAAAAAGCAATAGCTTTGCATCCTGTTTTGATACTATTGGTCCAGATAAACGGTGACCAGCAGGATGTGAACATAGCCATCTTTATGCTAAAACAAAAATTCACATTCAACAATTTTTGCCGCGCTCATTAGCCACCAGAGAACGCGGATGATCCAATTGATAAATTCCACCCACTTGTTGTTATGAGTATATTAAACGCTTGGGCGTTGACGCGCAACAGGTCTGCCAACTTTCAAATCGCACAAGTCGCAGTACCAACGCACAGAATCGAGAAACACATTTTCTTTGCGTTTCAAAAAATTTCTTACAATTTCATCCAACAATTATTAACATCGCTATGTATCTTATCTTAAAATATTAAAACGATTGTGAATCACAGTTGAAAATGAAGAAACTTATCCAAAAACATATAAGAATGTAGCAGCTTTATTTAGGATTTAATAGAAAAGTAATTTAATATTTAATTTGATACACGTACAAAGTAAAATATTTTTGATACGTGTATCTGGAGATTCAATTGGTCACCTGTTATGCATAACGTAACAGACGGTTTTATTTTGAATGAATATCACTCTTAAAGTTCTTCTTACCTATTCAAGATTAATTTTCCCAGTTAGTTTTCCACTGTGATGTGGTTTCGATAATCACCAGAATTCGAATATCTTCACCATTTGGAAAACTGCGTTTAGACTCAACGAACAGTGCCATGCACGCCAACGTACGCTTCGGTTGGAGTACTATTAATGGCGCCGAGTAGGCATTCAAATCCCCTCTACCTCACCAGACACTCATTCTATTCATCATTACTTCAGTTATTAAACACGGTCTTAACTCTTGTAATACACAAGGACAGACAACATCTTTCTTTTTAACAATGTTTTATATTATCATGAAAATATCGCCAGACTTTTTCCGTACTTTAATGTTAATTGAGGCTTCCGGAATAAAAAAACGACAAATATCAAAGCCTAAATGAGTAACAGGTAGCTGGTTGCCAACGTGAGGGTTAATTGTGAAATTATAAGTATTATGTTTTAACTAGAGGTATACTGATCTAAAGACCTCTGGAGATTTATCTCCTATAGAAATCTATAAAATAATTTAGGGATATACGGATGTAGGGATGTAAGTCCTTGCATCTTCTATATGGTAATTTAAGAAAATAATGATACATGTATCCAGATATAGGGATGTAAAAAGTGAAAAAAATTCATACACCATATAATGTAAAGTTAAATATAAATTATCGTTACCTCAGTAGTTCGATTGTAAATACGTATTATCAACTTCATAGATCCTGCGTCGAACTATTAGTATCAAATCATACGTTCAGGACTATAATTTGTCGTAATACGTACTATCAACCTCGGTATGAGATAAAAATGGAGAAAAGTGAAGACAGTCAAGGTTACTTTATGTTAATGTTCTTTAATCTCACACAGTTTTGCAACCATAGATTTTCGTTTATAGACCTCACGACTGAATAGAGAAATTATAGTTTCAAGTAACTGACAGCCCGTTATTTATACCGCGTAGAATTGTTCGTAACGCCTCGCGTGTTTCGCGAGATTAAAGAGTTTAGCTGAAAAAGAATCTGGACGAAGTTAACATAGCCGTGTTACGAAGAGCCGATCATTGTCACTGATTAATCCGTAGAAAATGTAGTTCAATGGTTTTAAATTACCCGCTTGCGGTTTCCGCGGCGAGCAGCCATTTTGGTACCGCAAATGAAAATAAACCGCCTGAAACCGGGTAAAATCAGTGACTGATAATGCAGTTGCGAAAGAAAGCTGGTTAACTCGCGTTAACTTGGATAAATATAGCGATTGAAATTCTCTGTTCAATTAGATGCGTGAAGTTGCACGATTAAGCATACATTTATCGCACAAATCAGACTTAGAGGTGTTATAACCGGAGAAAACACACGATCAACAGGATATGCTCGCGAATTAACTTTCTAAGCTTATGCAACAGTGTAGCGAATATTTATGGAAACATCTTAACTTTAACTTGTTGAGTTTATGTGACGTAATTAGATACTATAACCTTCAGTTTCATGTAATCCCTGTTTAATGGACACTCTTGGACACTAATGGTGAAATGGGAGAATTGGAATGGCTATAGGACTTATGCTTTTAAATTTCTATAGTTCATTGGACACAATGTACTATGTAATGGATAATAGATAATCGTTACTATAATACAAGTTTCGTTTGTTTAGAGATCGCACGATAATTAACTCTATATTGTTATTCTCTTGCGAATCTGAAAGGTGTTAAATGTACACTCAACTGAAATTCGCTGCGAATGGGTCGAACCGAGCCAATATAATTATGCGACACAATTTTAGTAATATAGAAATAAATTGAAACGGTAGCAGCTGTAAAAACAAACTTATTTCAGCGAGAAACGTTTCTGTGATTAAATTCCAAGGAACAATGTCGGCGAAGTATCTCGAATCGGAGCCAACGTGACCAGAGGAATTTATGCCATAGTTGGCATTTGATCTACAAGTACGTGGAACTGCTCGTTATTGTAGGCATATCTAATATCAAGGGTATCGCGGATATTGCATCCTCTCGAGGGAAGGAGGAATGCTACGTTGCAGTACAGGTTACTATTAGAAGGTCTATAGTAGCAGAACGTTGTTAAAAGCACCAACCAGCTGCGTTTCGTAGTCTAGCGACGCTGGCTAGTCCAAAAGCTATAAATATGCGAGCATGAATGCGTGGAGTCTCTCTTAATGCCTCCAACCATCAAAATTCTCCGTCTTGCTCCTTCTCTATCGTTTTCTAAGATAGACAGCCACCATGTTGGTTTCGCCGCGGTTCTATAGGGCGACTGTTAAGCTTCATCCACACCTAGATGACTGGTCTCAATGAAAGAGAACCAAATATCAAACAAAAATTACAATAAATATATAGTAAACCTTGTATTCAACTACTGAAATTGTTTTTATAAAAAAATCTTCAAAATCTGTAATACAATAGAAACGTGTAATCCGATATGTAAAATATTTCTACAAGGAAGATATCTTTATTTAACGAATAATTTATTTATATTTTAATGTAATCTTGCGCTATAATTATAACTTGGCCCGCTACTTCAGTAGTTTCCTTATGCAAGCAGTAAATAAACTTCTGTTTTAAATTGCGAATTCGGAATTTTTATTTTTATTTCTGTAAAATAGATTTTATATGCACTCAGTCTATAAAAGATTTTTAAAAGTTGTTTTTCAAAAATGTTTTCAAGAGAATTTGTTAGTCAATTTTAAAATTAAGTAGTTTTTGAAGTGAAGTTATTTTTATGAACATTTTACGACTGCAAGATGCAAAATAGACCTTGAAGTCTCCAAATCAGTCTGTTGTCACTAACGAAGGTCGAAGAGGTGAAATCGATGTTTATCCCGTTAATTATGATACGAGGATACATCTCTCGATCGCGTAAGTGTGAATTACCCTTAAGTTGGCTCTCGATTTAGGTGTTGGTCGAAAGCATCGCCACCGTTTCCATTCTTAAAGGCATATCTCGACCTCGTGAATGGTAAGTCTCGCAGCGTGCTGTTACGTGGTTAGTAAAGGCAACACCAATAGATTTTCAATGAACAGTCGTCACGTGACTTCGCCTAATCCTTACGCGAGACAGTTGAATCATTTAGGGTAATAAGCTAATGCACTGTTCCGTTATAACCGGAAGCTTCGATACTCCAGCCTATGTTCTTACACCGACAATTTTAAATTTTGTCATATAGAACTATAGTCAGGTTGAAAGGTTTATGTAAGTGAAGAGTCATGAACAGGTAGATAACCATTAAAAAAATATCTAAATGGTAATTGCTCGAAAGACAAATTTTACTGTTGTTTCAAATTGTTCAACCGTGGGTTATCTGTAGCTGGAGAAGATGCAATTAGTACCATTTTGCACGTACAGTTGATAACAAAAATGTTTACTAAAAATAATAGCTGGTTAGCAGGGGAAACTTGGGTAAAATGGGATACCTAACATTTCAAGCTAAAAGAAGTCTTAAATATTGCTATTGATTTAAACTTATCTGAGGATTTAGAGATTTAGGTGCTATTAGGGTCTAGGACTAGCAGTTACGGATTGGGCTATTGGGGACTTAAAGACGTGGAGATCTAGATAATTAGGGATTTGAAGATCTATGCATCTAGGGATCCAAAGATAATATAAAACTTTAAAAATTTAGGAACATATGTTTCAATATAACACACACATTTCATATCCATAACAAACATTCATAAAAGACCTGAGATTCTATCTAAAAGTTTAATCAATGAAAGAATACACAAAACCATAATTATTTTCGCGCGTCACGCTCTCGATTCACTCACTTATTTAATCGTCGAGGTTTTGTCGAGAAAAACAAAATCGCCCGCAAGAAGGCGTTTAACATAAAATGTTGCTCACGTCGATTATAAACGGTAGAATGGTCTGAATAAATCACTGAACGGTAATTAAATTTATGCATTGGCAGTTCGCTTTTCAGGCGGTTTAACGCAGCACACGTCGCGGGAAAGGAGTCAAATCGCAAAAAGTTGTCGGAACAACTTCGTGTTTCGCATCGAACGCACGTCGCCGAGAAAAAACTATAATATCACACGCAGCTGATTTCGAATGAAACGGGCTCGATCGCATCGATTTCGGGGGGTCGGCGTACGATTTATGGCTCCGAAACGAATCTCGCCGAAAGAAGCATCGGATTTCTTTCGACCGACTCGAAAACCGAACACGAACATTTATCAGGAACGTTGTTATTGAAACGAAAGAAGGTTTACAGCGTTTCGTGTGCTTATTCCTGCACACGCGGCTATCAGAGTTATCGGAAACGCGATATAGTCGACTCCTTTTGTGCCAACGACATCGCGCTGCTATTTCATTCTCGACACCACGAAAACTCACTCCGATATCGTACACCGATACATCAAACAACACGTTGATAAATTACACAGGAACGGTTCGAATAAAGAACAATCTTCGAAATCTGAACAATCACACACTTCTCCGAATGCACCGAAGTTCGGTAGATCTCACAATACGAACAAGAGGTCCGTTTGGATTAGATGTGGATCACACGTATGGTGGATCACCGTGAAACACTTTGAAAATCCAGGAACCTAAAGCAACACGCAAACGATGCAGAGAGAATTCCGTCGGGTTGCACGCACGCTAGGAGCGCACCGGAGTTAGGTGAAAGACGATATAGGGGTCCCCTCTAGTGAGATTGGGCCCCGTTCAGGTCTCTCTCGCACACTCTCTCGCGACGTCGAAGGTTTGCTTCGCACCGGTTCGTGCCGTCGGGTCCGGCTCGGCTCGTGCACATACGCCATGGTCTCTCGTGTCGAATCGGGCCAGCTTCGTGGTGCCCAGCTGGATCCGGACGCCCATTTGTCGGCCTCCTCGTCGTCGTCCAAGTCCTCGTCGTCGTCGTGCTCGTTCACGAGGTCCAACCGACGTCGAGCACCAGTGATCCGTTCTCGATCGGTCTGTCGTCTCGGCTGTGAAACGTGCAGCGTGTCTCGGTGATCTGATGTAACCCCCTTCTCGTTCTTTCTCTCTGTCTCTCTTCCTCTCTTTCTCTCTGTCGTGAAACCGCATCGGTCGTGTGTATATCTCGCCTCGATTACACCAGAACGGTTGAGCGTCGCCGAGCGAGCGGTCCCAACGTCTGGATCCGTCGAGCGCACTTGCTCTTCGTCCTCTTCGAGGTTGTGTCTGCGTCTAATTAAACCTGGTGCCCGCTGGACATCTTCATGGCGAATTCTCTCATCGATGCCGGATGATCGAACGACCCAATCGGAGGAGGATTTATCGTCTGTTCTGCATCAGACCCTCGAACAAAGTATGCGATGCGGTGCTGTGCGACGATTCGGTGCGAATAAGCTTTCTAATGGACGTTGGGTGTCGGAAATTTTGGAGCTCCTCGAATTCACGGTCGAAGATCGTCGGGAGGATGGAGTCGAGAGGTTAAGTGAACGGTTAGCCGCTAACCGGGTGCTAGAAATTGAAAGCTTTCGCGTGGAAAAGGAAGGAAAGCTTCGCGACGGAGAAAGCAGACGTTTCGTGCCGATTAGCGGAGGAGATTCCACTCGGAATCGGCTCGTTCGTGCGTGAGTAATTAATCAATTAATCGTTCCCGTGGGACGAAACGGAGTCGAAATGATTTCCTTGACGGAACTGGTTTAAGTGGTTCGCATTAGCATCTACCGAGCTCGCTACTGTTACCGAATACAATTCCGCGTATAACGAGTCGGGACGAGATTAATGTTCCCATCGCGGGATTGAATTCGTCGCGCAAATGAAAACGTTCGCAGTGTCGTTCTCTAGTGAACTGATAAAGCGTGCATTTATCGTCGATTAAGATAAAACAAATTTGTGAACGAAAAATATCGTGTTATCGACATGAGCAAGTGAAATTTCTGTGTATTATGGCTAGAAGTTTGGGGACAGGGAGTTTGACTTTTGGCAATTTGGGGACTTGAGTTAGGGACTGTATTGGGTATTTGGATAACTGAGGATTTTCGAAGTTGGAAATTTTAGAATTAAGTTTGGGAACTTGAGAGGTGTGGAGTTTGAAGGATTTGGATTTGAAGGATTCGTGGATTTGAAGATGTAGATTCATGGACTTGAAAATTTAGAAGTTTATTCAGGTTTTTCTGAACTGGTTAATTTGACGATTTCGAAAGTATAAAATTTGCAACTCTAAAAATTAAGAAACTTGTTTACACTTTTCCTGACACTCAAACATCTACAGAAGTTTCACTTGGAACGAAGGACATTAATATTCCGATACTCCATTTTTGACGATGTCGACACTATATCGAATCGAATCGTGATCAATTAAGAAGATTCGAAAAATCGATCTGGTCCAGTTAAAAAAAAGAAGAACTTTCGAGTGAAAGTACTGTCGGATGATCGTCGGGTTGCATTTCGTGCGTTTTAATTACCCGACCGTATTCGTGATTAATTAAGAGCAACGAGTCGATCTCTAGCGGGTCGAAGAATCGTGAAGAATGCTGCACGGTTCCGGTGCAAAAACCGATTCGTGATCTACTAATCTAGTCACATTGACTTTAAGATTACCTCTCGCGAAACTAGTGGCCCGAAACGGGGACAGGCTTTTCGTTCGCGAGTCGAGGATCTCGTTTATCGTTCGTGATCTGCCGAACAAACGTCGACGTAAACACAATATTATGATAATATTATCTGGCTGCGATAAGATTCGCGGCGAGCGAAATCTAGAAGTTGACTCCATGCTTGGAATCGACTAGGTAACGATTTCCGATAAACGTTCAATTACGGTGCGAGCACGGTGGTCGGAGTGCAGCGACGTGTCTTGCTGATCGTCGATATCGTTGCAAGGAAAAATCGGCTGGAATCGAAACTAGAAACGAACGGTCGGGCAAAAGTGGAGCATTTGTACCTCCATGTGAAGTGCAAGGTGTTGGTGTTGATAACGTGCTTCGTAATCCGGTGCCGGTGCTCTGTGAATTCTCCAAGATCGATGATGATTCTTTCAAGTGAAATATCCTCCATTTGAGGAAGTGCTTGTTATGGATATCTGCGTGCCTGTCGAACGGAAATACTTTCTCGACTGGAATCACGTGGATGACATCCGCCCAAGCATTTTCAAACTCTTGCAGGAGTAAGTAATTTATATATAATATTATCAGTTTGTCGACATATTTTCTATAATAATTAGAGTTATCGAAGTGCACGTATATACATTTATAAGTTGATCAAATTTTACGGTTGCTACAGGCAAATAATCAGTATCTTATACAAACATATATACGTCAGAACAAGCATGCATTATAATATCTGTTACAAAGATTTTGAATTATGAGAACGACTCATTGTAGCAAGTGTTCGTTGCTCTAAGATATTCAACTGATTACCCGAATATTTGAACGAATAAATTTGAACTATTTATCACATGTATTTAGAAAATTGCGGTTATTCCGAGTATACACAATTTTGTTTTGGAATCCTAGAAACTAAATATTGATAATCTCTCCAAACAACGACCGTTCAATTCGAAATTCTGATCACAATATCAGAACATCAGAATATCGTGGAAATGCTCCACCTGTTAAAATCTT